GCAATGAAGACAGCAGTACTGTGATCATTGACCAACAGCAGCACACTCAATAGCCTTTCACAAACTGATCACCGCTGCCATGCAGTATTTTCTGGCGATATCCAAGAGAGCTCACTGAGCCAGCCCCGCTCAGGCTAGCGACAAGCTACCATCAGCTGGGAGCATTGTCTTAGCCTGATGACACATAGCTGAACAGGCCTGTTCCCATCCAGCCCTCTCATCTGACTATGAGCAACAGTGTGTGCCATGAACAAACATGCACCTGTACAAAAAAGTCATCAATTCATTAGGGATTCTCCTATTTTCCATGGTAAGAAGGACTAACTATTCATTGTCATGATGACCCCTTGGAAGCCCAAAGCAGTGGCATGTGTGCAAGTAGAACATGCCACTGCATAAACCTCAGCCAGCAGTCACCATAAGGCTCTGAGTTTTGGGCTGGAGCTCTGGATGGATACCATATAGAAAGTACCACATGAAGAAACCAGCTTACAAAGATTAAAAAAAAAAAAAATAAATAAACCTTCCCTCCTTCTCCCTTCTCTTCCCATCCTCAAGGGGAATGCAGTGCTGCTGACTTCAAACTGCTATGCAGCTCCCAAGGGCTCTGCCAAAATGCCACTGTGATGTCTCATGGCACAACATTTCAGCCAAATACCAGCCCAAGGGGAGTGGGGGAACCAACCGGCCCTTTATATATTGCAGCAGCAGTGATGTCACACACTCCAGCGAAGTTTGCTGGTTTGCCCAGCTCCTGTCTAGTGAAAAAAGTTGACATTAAGTCTGTGCCAGCCCAGGAATAGTCTCTGTAATTTAACCTCCTCATCACAATTTGTTAGGCACTTAAGAGAGCCACTGAAAAAAGCCTCCTATTTAAAAGAGAGGGGAGGTTGGTCTCTGATTAAGCTCCTTGAAATCTGTACATTCATGCAAGCTTTTTCAGTAGCTAGTATCAGATGATGCCTACTGCAAACACCTCACATGTTTCTCAGCATTTCCCAGGCAGTTCCAGATGTGCAGCATTGCTTTCCTCTGTCTTGAAAATAGACTAAATTCAGACATCCTTAAATGTTTGAACCAGCTGAAACCTGACCTCAGCTCAAACACTGCACCTTGCTTGCTGGCTGCCATGTTTGTCCAAAAAGCTAAAGAAATGGGACTTTACCGGATTATTAAACCAGCCATGAACAGCCGCTTTGTCCAAGTTCAGAAGTTGTCATCATATCTATACAAGGGATAGCTAGATCAGTACAGTGCTGCTGTTTCCATCCAGTCCCAGTAGCGATCTGCAGTTTGAACACTTGGTGTAGATACAGCTTTTCCAGCTTGAAACATTACATTGCCCAAGTACCAGTATTATGGCCAGGCAAGACAAGGATCTTCACAAGGGGTTCAGAGACAGTGACAGTGGCTATTCTTTTTTTTAATCAGTGGTGCTGGGTTGTTTTTGTAACAGTGACACCATCTAGGAAAATAATTGCTGAGATTACATCATGATCTCCATGTTTATTGCTACCCTACTCACTTTTCAGCAAATGTTCTCAGTTTACAAGGGACAAGATGTTTCTTCAGACCTCTGTCCATGAGATCTGAAAGCCAAGCTTCCTCCTGGTTCAGGCACCACCACCAATAAATAGTGATAAACATTGTGCTGCTGGAATTTAGTCAACAGCCCCATTGATGAATGAGCCAGAACGAAATCACCATCTCCCACGGCTGTGTTGGCTTTGCAGAGTTAAGAGTATCACAGAAGCAGTAAAATTGTAATTTAACCTCTGAGCAAAGAGATAACTGAGTACACGTCTCTGCAATGAGGATGCTCTTTTACATTTAGATGCAACCAGACATAGCATTGGGGTTTTTTTCTTTGCTTTTACTTTTTTTTTACTCAGACATCTTAAATGGACCACAAAAAGCTCTGATTGGTACAGGCTTGTCCCTAAGCTAACACTGATACCTGTCCTTCCTCAGGTAAGGTGTAGGAGACCATCGCAGCAGCTGAGCCCTTGTTGCCACTTTTGCCAATGTGTTTTGAATACCACAGGCTGTCACAAAAGTTTCCTTAGAGCAGACCCTTGCTTCAGGAAAATCTGCTGTATCTACACCTATGTGCATTACCTCAGGGCCAGGCAGTTCTTGTAGGAAATGGATATATTCTTGCAAAGATTGAGCAAACTAGCCTGAACCTTGAGGGTCCCTACAGCAAAAGGACAGCAGCAATGCATGTTCACAATAGCTGAGCTTTCCTTTAGCATCTCCTGACTCTGGTTCATGCATGGAAGCAAAAAGTTATTTGGTTTACTGTCCTTCACCATCCCAGCTGTCCACCCTTCTTCTCTTTTACAACAGGGGTAGTGAAAAGGCTGGACTTTTAAACCTCAGCTGCGTTAGTTCCCAGTCCATCAGATTGGCATCTGTCTATACTTGTTGGCAGTAGGAAGTCATATACAGGGGGAGTGGAGGCACACATTTTCCTCCGCAGTCCCTCTGAAAGGGTGGCACAGCAGGGAGATAGTCAGCAGCAGGGAAGAAGTCATCTGGCACAGCCCCTCATTTTAACCTGGAGATGTCACCGAGCCTTTGCAATGGGCAGACTGCCAGGAAACCATTGCTCACTCAGCTGTTAGTCCCTGCTGAGACTGCCAGAGAGTGCTGGAGTCTGTGATAGTTGTTTGCTAGAAACCTGACTGCACTCCGCAAGCTACCAAATCCTAAAGATATCTGGTTATTATCACTCTGGGATGGATACCTGTCTCTTTTGGTAAGAAATCCTGTAAATGACTCCTAAAATGGTTCTAAAATGTGAAGGAACAAATAAATGAATGAATACAGCATGAGACAACCTTCAGATCATGCAAACAAATGTCTTTGTTTTCAAATTGCAGAGTTCACTTAAGATCAAAAAATGCTGAAGGTCAGAAACATCCAGCGACACTACTTCTGTGGAATCTACATTACTGGACTATTTCTACCTCCTCACTAAAGATGGTCAGAAATGAAGCCAATACAAACATGAGAGGGAGTTCTAAAGATGAGAAGCAAAATTACATGGCAGGTATGTACCTGTACTTCCCGCTCATATAACTGTTAAGAATCAAACCCGAGTGGGATGGCCTTTCATTTGTCTTCTCTTTTTTTCTTGCTGCATTATACACAGATATGTATGTGCAGTGGGGAGAGTGAAACTCACTTTTGAAAAATCTTTGTACAAAGCAAAATGGAGAAGCTCTATTAAGCTCATTTTATTTCTGGTGTAAATCTATTGTAGTTCTGCATAAGTCATTGGAATTGTATGGCTGGAAGGACAGAATCGAGATTCACTATGATACTTTGAGTCTAGAAATAGGTTGGCTGAGGTTTTTTTTAAATAGAAAAGGAAGACAAAGAGTCTTTTCATTTGAAGCAACAACTGAGCCTGAGCAATCCAGCTGATTAAGCCCAGTTCCTCTGACTTTTCATACTTTGACCAACACTGAGTCACCATAGGGAAAAACGTGCCCTTTCCAAGAGTCTCACTGAGATGGGCCAAAGTGGGATCATGGATCTGGACATCTGGAGGGGCTGAAATCTGGATTTCATTGCTCAGTTCTACAGTGGATACAAGCTTGAGATGGAGGCAGCTTCCACTTGTACAGAAGCTAGAAGTTGCTGTAGATGTGAACTGTGGTGTTTCAGCTCATCACATGTTCATGATGCACTTGCACTAGGAAATGGAGAGACAGATAAGACTTTCCTTAAGGAGTGAGTTTTAGTTGACTCTTGAATATGCTTTTAAACTGAGTGTCCCTGCAGTTTAGTCAATACCCTGCTCAAGCCCTTGAATGTGAGAATAAGTAGCTAAAGACTTTACAGAGTAAACTTTAAAGAGTTTTAGTGTATAGATTTCAAGTACAGCTGAAGGGTCTATTTTGCTTTTATTTGTTTCATCCAGAGATTCCCCCATCCGGTCTTCAGACTGATGTGGAGATAGACAAAAAGCACAACGCTGTGGGCCCTGACTGTGCATCATAATCGGGGATAAATGGAAGGCTGTGATATTTTATAACTGTGTTGAATGGGTTACCTTTTGCTCTCAGCGCTTCTGGAACTGAAGCCAAATGCTCCCTGTGCTCCTTTAGTGGCTCTGCTGGAGTCCCCTAGGCACTCCTGCCTTCTGCTGGCTAAGCTGATATTAGCAGCCTCTTCAGTTTCAACACCAATCCAACGGCATCTGGATACGGGTGGCTAAAGGATTTTACCCCACCAATATATGCTTGGAACATGCTAATGCACAGTAAATCCTCTTTACCTGTGGTGCCATTCTGCTTTCTCAAACAATGGTTCTGCTCAGGGTAATTGTCACAGCGAAGCTCCAGCCTGACACAACCAGGCTCATCTCTATAGACCTCATTTTCTGCAGTCATGAGCTAACACATGAGTGAGAATAGAATCTTCTGTAATAACTTTATTTTTCACAACTTATAGTTATGATGTCTTGCCAAGTAAGTTTTATGAACTTTTCTTTCATTTTTAACATAGTGTGCAATGATGTACCCAGTGACATTCTTTTTTTAAGTAAGTTTTGTCCCTTTTTATTACCAATTCTTCCTGGCCAAAAAATGGCTAACCTTCTTAGCTAAATACATGCACAGCACTTGGAAGTGTTTATGGTTGGAGGTATGGAAAGGGAAGTACTTGAAATTTGGCTTTTATATCCTTGTTTAAGAGCCCAAGTAAAGAATCTGAGGTGAAACCACTTTTTTTAATGGCACTTTCCAGAAATCAAACTATCTACCATGAACTACTTGAATTGACCAAAATAACAATTATTTTTCATGTTGTTTATTGTGTTGCTAGCATCTTGTTTAGAATACATGTAGGAACAAATTAGGCAGTGACGAATATATCTGGAAAATGCTCTCTGTCTGATGGTGTTAGTATAGAAAAATGATAATTTATAATTTTGGCTTTGCAGAGAAGAAGGTTTCCTTCAGCTGTTCCATAAGATGAATCCATGTGCAGCAGCACCTTCTGGAGGAATCACTTTGTGCTTGTGAATTGCAAACAGCTGGAACCACCCCACGCAGTCATCTGCCTATTTGACGCTTGAAGTAATTAATCCTTTGGATAATTCATTCATGACTCCCATGAACAATGCAGGGAAATAAGAAACATACAGAAGGACATAGTGACTCCTCAAGTATTGGGAGTCTCCTGGATGACACAGACAGAGAGGTGAGCAGCCTCACAGACCGGGCTTTCAAAAGTTTGTGTGTGGCAGAACTCGAAGACTCTTACAATGAACCAGATCTTGCCATTTCACCTGACTTTGCCCTCCAGTTCTCTGCTAAATTTCACCCAGCGACTTTAAACCATGCCATCAAGAAAAGCAACGTCTGTAACAATCTAACAACAAGAAACAATGAACATACAATATGGGCTTCCACATTCCAGCAGTTACCAAATTGTGCTCTGGAGGAGAAAAGGATTGCTAAAAATAACTCCTTTGCCACAGAAAGGAAAAAGCTGAATTTGCCAGTCCCTGGTCCAAGGAACAATAAACATGTTTCAAAAGTGTCCTCGTTGATTAAGACATTTGATAAGACTGCAGACCAAGGGTCAGGAGGTTCCCTGATAGCCATTAAGCAGCCCATTAAGAATAGCTTTCAAAAATGTAAATTAAATCATGGAAATGATATGGCTTGCTGGGATGACACAGACATTTTAAGCATCCACAAGGAACTTTCTGAATTTTCTGAGGCTGGTCAAGGTAGCCACTGTCTCAGTGGCAAACACGAGCCACAGAAAAGACCTAATAAAATAGACCTGAGTTATTGTGGCTCTGCTGGTTATTATCCTGTGCTGATTGAGATGTCAAAAGTAGCCAAGTCAAATTTTTCCCGTTCTTCTAAGAAGGCTTTAAAAAACAGAAGTATGAAAGTTAATGAGCCAGCAAAAAAAGGTAATTTTCTTCACAGTGAGAACAGTGCTTTTGAATCATGGAATGTTCATCATAAAAAACTGACTGAAAAGGAGGAATTTGTTGATATAAAAATGAAAAAGGAAGGTCTTACATATCTGGAAGAAGCACCATTTGTTAAAGGATCCCACACACGTGAACATAAATTGCCACCTGTCAAGACCACTGTAGCCAAGAAGCAAGAGAAAGATTTTCAGATTAAGCCACCTCCACCAGAAGCTGCTTTCAACATCCCTCTCTCAGCTGTGTATGTACCTGAGGGCCCTCTCCCTTCAGAAACTGAACTTCCTGCTGCTCTTCCCCCCGCACCCCTCCCCAGGATCCACGCACAGCAGGGTCCCCCTCGGCCACCCCCTGTCCCGCAGGCGCTTCCTCTTCCAACCCCCACCCAGCAGGGCCATCCCCCAACATCCCCTACCCCTGAAGCCCCTCCTGTGCCACCACCCCCAGTGCCGGCTCAACTTTCCCCCCCTGCCTTGTCCCAAGCCTCCATCTCACCCCAGTCCACGACCCACAGGATGTTTTCACCCTCACCCATGTCTCTGGCACCCAGCCCGCCTCCACTGAGACCCCTGGCCACCTTAACTGAAGAGGAGGCCCTCAGTCCCCAACTGGGCAATACCTGTCCGCCCTGGAGGAGACAGAGGACTACAAAAGGGGCAGCGGAGAGGAGACACACCTCAAAGGAGAAGTTCACAGCCAGTGATGAGACGTGCTCATTGTCCGAAAAGGCGACTGGTGCTGAACCTGGTCTGGACGTGACTCCTCTGACTAAACAGGTAAACTCCCCTGGATCAATCAGTCCCTCTTTCAACATCACCGAACTCTTAACACCCATCATACCACCAAAACAGGAGGTGGACGCTGTTGAAAGTGAGCTGATACCGCTGACACCTCCTCCCACTGAGAGCACGCCATTGAGAGACCACGAGGGGAGCACATTTGGTGATTACAGGTCTCGGGATAGTTACAAATCGAAAGCGTCGAGTCTGTTATTCAACTTGAAGGATGTGCGTAAATGTGTTAAAAGCATTTATACCCCTTCTCCCCTGTTAAGGGCTTTGGAGGAGAAAAATAAAACTAGGGAAAATATACAGGAGAGTACAAAAATTAATCCCTCACTCTTGACTTTACAAGAAAAAAGTAACAAAAATATTGCAGAGAAAGATGAATCGAGTGATATGACCTCCATATTGTCTGGCAGTGTTCACGAAAAGGACAATAAAACTGATGTAACTGGACACTTTACAGACAATTACCTGACTCTGAGTTCACCCCAGACAACAGCGGACCTTTTATTTTACCGAACTGGAGACAACTTGCAGCAAGACGATTCAAAACTTGAAGATTTAGTTCAAACCACAAGGGATAATGAAAACTTCCCCTTGTTCAGACATGAATCAAATGAACCTGATTTAAGAAAACATCTGCAGTATCCAGCACTGAAACCATTCAGCAGAGACAAAGCAGATGCGACAGCTGGGCAGCCCATGCAAAATCCCAGTGTCCAGGGTGAGGAAAATGAGAGACAGGCTGCTATTCAGAATGAAAATTTTGCCTTCAAAATTCTCCCAAACCAACTCTCACCAGCAGAGGATGTGCCTTACAGTGCCACCCAAACCAATATGGTGGTACCTGGCCATGAAGCAGAAGGCAAAAGAAGCACTAGTTCTTCGGAGCAATCTTTTGTTTCCACAGTAGAGCAGCCACTTCAGGAGGAGCCATTTCCACCAGTGCCCCTGATGCAGAAGGCATGCTCTCAAGAAAGCCAGAGGACTAAGAGTGAAATGGGTGCAGACAGTAAGAAAAGCCACAAGGAGAGAGGGAAAGAGGTTGGGGAAGATGAACTGCAATATTATGCTTGTATCAGCTCTGGTACCGGTGCAGCAGAGAAGAGAGAGGGGAAGGTTACTGGGAATGAACAGAGGAGTGTGATGAAAGAGAAACTAGGGAGAGAGAAAAGGGAAGAGGCCAACAGCACGGATTCTGCTTCCAACAGTATAAGGGACACATCCATCCCCAGGTCTGAGGAACCACAAACACCACCATCTTCAAGCTCAACCAAACCCAGTTTGTTTATGATTAAAGATAACACATTCAGGTCACCTCAGGTAATAAGGGCTGTCAAGCTGCCCCTGTTCAGGTCCTTTTCCCTGGATGATACAGTGAGCAGCAGTTATAAGGAAATAGAAAGTAGGTTTATGCCCCCAGCAGAGCACATCAAGCAGCACGGAAACATGTTGCGTGCCCAGGAGGTAGGCTGGTCAGCATCGAGGCACAGAGGGCAGCAGAATGTGAAGGATGGAGAAAATGACAGTGGGAAAGAGGCCAGAAAGCCTGGATCTACTTCAGCAACACTGGATCCCAGCCTTCTGGAAGACACAGAGAGCTTTTCATTAGGGAAGCTGATGGAAGAAGATGAAGAGACTTGTGCTTTGTTAAATAAACTTGGGAAAATGAATGAGGAACGCATGTGCAGAAGGAAAGAGAAGCCCCAGACTAGGAAGGCAAGACACAGCTTAACACAGCCAAATTTAGGTCTGGAAAATGAGCAAGCACAAAACAACCCCAGCTATCCTGCAGAAAGAAAGATGAATTACTTCAAGAATCATCATTTATCTAATCGCAGAGGTGGCTCTTGTGCAAAAAAAATAATCACTAGGGAGACAATTTCCCCTGTGACTGGCTCCATATCAGAGGACCACATGTATTCTCCTGTACCCCATGAAGCTTTAGAGGATGTCTTACATACAGAAGGTGCACCGGTTTTGTTAGACAGTCTTGCATGCTCTGCTGTTACAAGCCCCAGGTCAGGCAGCACAATGCACTCTCTTGCTGCCAGTTCATCGTCAGACAAACCAACAATTTCTGGCCTTAGAGAGACAGAGGATGTTATAAACCCTGCCTTGCTGAACATGGCACTAAAAAGCCAAGCTAATATGTCTGCAGAACAGATACTTGATTCAGCACGGAGGAATCTGCTTTCCAATTCTGCAGGGGAAGCTGAGAGACTGGAGCCCAGAGGACTTGGGGAGAGAGCAGCAGGCAAGCCTCCTGCTGTGCCACCAAAAACAGAAAAGGCTCTGCGGCGGGCCAAAAAGCTGGCAAGCAGGAGAAAGAAAATGCAAGAGCAGCAGAAAAAACATCAGACTGAGTACACAGATGCTGTAGGGAGAAAGCCTTCTCATTCTGGACAGACACTAGCATCTCCTTCACCCTTGGGATATTCTCCTCTCCATCCTGCCCCTCACTCAACTTTTACTCCCACAGAAACCAGTACAGGAAGACCCAGTGGTGCATCAGCAGTAAGCCCTTCACCCTCTTCAACCCAGCGTAAACTCCTCCAAGACCCTGACTCTGGTCAATACTATGTAGTTGATTTACCAGCTGAAGTTAATTTAAAGACATTTTATGACCCAGAAACTGGCAAATATGTTCAAGTCTCAGTCCCTTACTCAGAAGGAAACTTACACCAACCCCCCTCTTCAGAAATTATGAATTCTCCCTATGCCTCCTATCCTAGAGTGCTGCCTTTACCAGCTACATCTGTAGCAGTGCTGAAGTCACCTTCTCAGCTCTCTGAACCTACCTGGTTAATGCCAGCTGTACCAGGAGAACCAGCTGAACTACCTGAAGATGGCCAGCAGGATTACAGATACAGTGAAGCTGTGGATACTCAGGCCTATGTTGAACCAGCCTCTTACTCCTACAGTCAAGACACTGAAGAAACTCAAGTTCGCTTAGGAAAGGACACGAGCCCAACCCCAAATACTGACATAGTGTCTCTCACTGAGTTAGATGATTTTGCTGCTGAAGGAGTATCTTGAAAGCTGAAGTAACAAAATATGCCAGCTAGTGTTTTTAAGAACTGTTTGGACAGACACATGCACACAAAAGCACATGCAGATTTGATGTTTGTACAACACTTTATGTCTGAATCTCATTGTGGTTTGAGTGGGAAGGAAAACGAAAGCTGACCATGAAAGATGCAAGGTGATGATCACTCTGAAGAAGAGTGAAATTGAGCAAGCACCAAATTATCAGTGAGATGAAGGGGCAATGCCAGCTAAACAAATAAATACGACAGTATGAAGCCACTGCTTGCTGCTGCTGCTGCTTTGCCATTATGGTGGCTGGGATTGCCAAAGCAAGTGTCCTTTTGCACAGATGTGTTGCATGATATATGATATGAAGTAAAACCTATGACACCATCCTGTCCATCCTATGAGACCTAGGACAGATGCCGCATCTACTAAACTTTCCTCACTCACTGCCTTTGAACTATATCGACATGTAGAAAGCATATGGCTACAAATATGCCATAAACCCAAGATTCATTTTTTGCACACATTGATCGCCCAGATGTTATTGACAAGAAGATTGTATACTGGATGAACAATACAACAGCTGCGTCAAAAAACATTTAAACAACCAGAATACAGTTGCAGCTGCTCCAAATAAGTTCCCCTAGAGTCAGGGATTATTTATAATGCAGCTTAAAACTTCAACTTATCTTGATGCTTGGCCCGAGATATTTTGGTAAGGAGCAAGGTTGAATGAAATCTCATAACAGTATTTAATTTTTTGTTAGGATGAGAAGATCTTTGCTTATTATAATTGAAATGCCTTTCATTTTGTTTTGTTTTCAGACTCCCACTGAAATACAATGCTACCTTTTAAACCCTGAAAAACATACCTAATTTAGGTCTTGTGAATTCTTTGATTTAAAAAAAAAAAAGAAGAGAGATAAAAAACATCCAAAGTGTTAAATTTCTAGAAAAGTGTTTCTTTGGATTATCACTTTTCTTTGAAAGATCTGTATCAAAATATCACTCATCCTTGCATAAGCTCTTTTTTATCATCATAGATAATGAGGGAACCTTGGTGAAAAGATGGAAAAATTGAATGTAATGTGTCTGCTTATAAATATCTGTATTTGGAGTGTTGGTTTACTTTGTCTCATTTTCATACTGTTCTTCCCAATTAAAACTGAAGTGCAGGAGATCTAAGGAAGAAATATATCTGCCTTTCAGCCTGATTCACACCTTAGGCTATTTTTACAGGATTGTTTTCAGTGAAGTGACTCGACTTCCTGAAAAGAAAGGGAAGAACCAGACCTTTTGTTAATAAATACGACATGGAGATGGGACACAGGCACTGCTTCACTCTCCCAGTTTTAATATCTATGATAGAGGTTTTCTTCAGTAAATTCTTAATTTCCCAGCACCAAGGCTGCTCAGGACACAGACCAACGCTTGGTGGTTTGATTCCTTCCCTAACTTGAACTCGGCTCCCAGCCTTCCTCCATCCCTGACAAGAGCCATACATTCAGGACCTGTCCTGATCCCACCAGACACTTCCTTTCATCAATGCTATTTGCTAAGACATTTCCCTTAGAGGGGCTAGACAAACACTAAAGACATCTCTTTGTTGATTTCAGTGGGGTTTGGATTTGGTCTTTAATGGTTTCCTAAGGTTCATTTCACCTGTTATGCAGAGTTGTGTCAGATTTGCCATTTTGTGATTTGGCAGGGATGGTTGCAGCAGAGGTGTGGGGTGGAAATGGAGAAGCTTGTACTGTTTTGGTTTGGGTTTTGAGCACATTCAGCCAAATGTTCATATCTGAATAAACAATTATTGTTCAGTCTCTACCCTTGAAAGTTTTCAACACCTGGCTGGATAAAGCCCTGAACAACCTGGGCTGGCCTAGAGCTGACCCTCCTTGAGCAGGAGGTTCATCCAGAGACCTCCTGAGATCTCTTGCAGCCTGAATTATCCTATGATCCTATTCTGCAAACATTAAAATTTTTAAACCAACTGTGACTTGGAAGTCAGAAAATGCAGTCTCCCCTGGGAAAGGGCTCATTTAGAAAGAAATAAAGAATTTGAAAATCAAGGGTGTTTCAGGAAAAAGAATAAATTTTCAAGTTGTTAAATTAAGGGAAATGGCCCCCTTTATGAATTTTTTTTCCTTTTTTTGGTCACAAATATTTTGCTAAACTGACACGGTGCCATTCATGTTGCACTTCTCTGTTGCTGTCACTGTATACAGCATAATGTCTATCCAGTATAGAGCAGAATGTCATCTACATGTTAAAATACAGATAAATAGATCTATTAAAGTTTTTCATGGTACATTTAGACAGAACCTATGTATCCTGAAAGTCTAGCAGAGCGTACAAGCCATTTTTGGGGGTTTTGTAATATTACAAAATATTTGTAATATTACAAATTTAAATGCCCTTAACAGCCACAAGTCAAGAAGTCAGCAGGCTCTCAGAGGACAGGATAAAAGCTTACTTTCCAAGGGGAGACTGTGGTTACAAATTATCTGTGCACAGATATAAAATAAATGGTAATTTGATAAGCAAAATATACAACTGCATTAAAAAAAACCACCTCTTTTTCCTTGGTTAACTGTAATTTGTTTTGTAGATGTGCACACTTCTCTTTCTGCACCCTTTTTTCAAGGGCCTTCTTAAACTCTTACTGTGGAGAATGGGATCATCCAATATACTACTTCCAGGTATGCAAGGAAAGCAGGTTACATTTTTACTCTACTGTGAAGGTAAACTGTAACATGGGCATCTGAAAAGGAGCCAGTCCTAACTTGGATACCAAATACATTTCAAGTAGGACTTCTTTATTTTGGCCAATCCTTTCTGCTAGCTTAAGGGAGCTGCATTCGCAGTGAACTGTGTCTCTAAACATGCACATGTCCCAGAGGGAGTTTGACCTAGGGAATTTGTAGCTAAATGAAACAAACAGAACTGGGGAGTTTTCAAAACAAATATGAAAGTGGTTCTCATCATGTATCCAGAGCTTTCCCTAGCACACTTTGCCACAGGGAGTGAATGATATTATCAAAGTGTTGCTCCAGGTCCCAGCCTGGTACTGACTTCATTTGAGTATGAACCCACCAGGAAACCTGTCTCTGGTCTAGATCACACTTTTGGCCAACTTCTAGCTAGGCCATGGGAATATGTGTGTGTACAAACACACACATGCACACATATAAACAACTCTATATAGAGATATATAAAAATATATTTTGAATATATATAATACACCTATAAAACTGCTGTTTGCATATCAGTATAAGACAGCAGTAATGCCTGTGATGGTGAACACAAAATGTTTGTGTGTTAAAAGGAAGCCAAATGACATCTTTTCACATAACAAATATTCTTCTTTCCCTACCCTTTTCTGCTCATGTTTGTTGTGGTTTTTTTCCATTGCTGCTGTGGGAAACTATGATGGAAGAGGTCATTACTAGGCAAAATGACAGCTGTGAATTGACCTCTTTCTTTGGGGGGGGTGCTACGGGAAATGTGCAATAGTCATGAAAGCAGGTATAGGAAAGTACTGTTTTGTGATGCAAACGACAGTGACATTAAATCATAGGTTAAAGAGGTGTTGAGGCAAACTAAGCTGAATTCTGCCTTGCCAGCAGCCGGTGGTTAGGACTAAGGAGCACAGCAGGCTCTTTGCATGCACAGAAGCACAGCAGGCTGAAGGGAAGAGAGGGCCATTGCTTTCACTGCTCCCCTCTCCTGCACGTGGTCTTTTTTGCATGTTGCATTTCTTGGTGCCCTGAGGCTTGTTTACAGTGGTGCTTCTTCCTTGGCAGATGTGACTGAGGCCAAACCTGGCTTACAGGTCTTTGGCTCGAGGGTCAGAACTGCCTCCCTTCAAACCTCCTTCTCTTTCTGGGGCAACTGCAATACCTTCCAGTCCAGTTGGCAAATGGCAGCCTTGGACTGCCATCCTGCAGCCATGGCTCTGTCCCAAGAGCTCAAATTTCCTCCTGCAAAATGCTGGATTTGTTTTAGAGGGTGCAGTTTAATTGAAATGGCCTACATGCATGGATTTTTATGAGCTCCTCCTTGGGTATTCAGTGCCTTCCTAAGTCATCTGTCCAAGAAAATGTGTGTTATTGGCACGTTCCATTGATGTAACTGTATCTGCGAATAAGTAATTATTTATTAATTAATAAACAAAATAAATGAGACTTGTTTTACAATACTGAAATGACTTCTAGCCAGCTTTTTCATTTTAATTTTACCTCCAGTTATGCCAGCAGAAAAAGTCAACAACATGGAAGTGTGTGTTTGTGTGTGCATGCACGTGGTACACAATTAAAAGCTCTAGGAGATGACTGGATGCAGGGCTTCGTCCCCCTTCCTCCCTCTCCTAAAAAGAGGGAGCAGGAGCTGGCCAGAAACACCTTTGGCCCAGGACTCCTGAGATCATTCCCACCCCTCCCTGCTGTGTGAGGGCAGCGGTCTGGCCAGAGGACCCTGGGGATGTGGTGCCAGCACCCAGTCCAGCAGCACTGGAAGAGGATCACCTTCTTGCCACCACTCAGAGGACATCAGAACTTTTGCATTCCCTGTGCCCCATTCACCTGGGGGAAGTTACCAGGTGTGTAACTTGTCCTTTTCATTACTAGCCAGTCCTGCAGACCATATGTCATCTCCAGTCTTGTCAGTGATGGTTTCACATTTTTTCTCAGTTTCTCTTCTTGTCTGTTGCATTATGAAACACAGTGGAGACTCTTCTCAAAGTGATTTTGGCTGAGTCCTTGCCCAGACTGGCAATTTTATTTAGATCTGTTCTGCTTTGATCCCTGACTAACCAAGCAGTCCTTGCTGACAGCAAAAGTGTTACTGTGGTTTGAATATAAGACAGCATAAACAGAAAAGTTGGCTAGTTATGTTTTTACCAGAAATATATTAACAGATTTTCATATCTGTATTTGGGAGATATACTTTGTTTCCTTTCTGAGTAAATAAAGAACTCCAAGTTTGATCCTCTGTCTCACTGAAAAGCAGCATCAGAAGCTGGTGATATTGTACATGATGGGTTACATGGGCTCTAGTGAATACATACAAATGTGTAATTTGGAGCAACTGGTGTACATCAGTCATTTTTATTAAAGAAATTCTGCTTCAGAGCCTTATAGGAGATAGAAAG